TACATAATCTTCTAATTAGTTCAAATTGTTTTCAGAGAAACTTTATAAACATTATAAATATTGGGAACATTATAAAATGTCTCTGCTTGAAATGTGTGGATTAAGTCCAGAGTGAATCAAAATGCAGAGGATAATCCTAGGATATCTGTAATATCCGTAATCCCATCTTCAAGTCTAGATTCCAAAAATAAACCCTTCTAAACTATTAAATTGCAGCTACATAATTCTTCAGCCTTAAAATTTTTTCTTTATTGAGTCCACATTTATGCCCATGGCTTACAACCTTGCTGAAGCCACAGTATCAGTAAGAATTCCCTCAGGAGCTTACACATTCCTTTATCAATGAGGATTCAACGTAGAGTACAGCTTCACTGAGACTTTGATTTTGAAAAATAAGTCGTAAAATGGGATGAACTTTAAATCACGATCTATGATTCACAATGCTAATATGTCTTGCAATGTGTCCATGATTCAGAGAGAATTCTGATGTCAGTATTTCAATGTTAGATGCAGCATAAGACAGATAAAGTCCCACTTCTTCCTGGGGTATATAAAGCATGAAAGGCGTACACTGAAAACAGTGTAGCAATGAAATGGTCACTTTGGGATATGAGTGTTATTTTTAAACTATGTTTATACTTCAGTGAAAATATGGTTTGGGCCTTTTTACTTATTACTCATTGACAATTATGGTTAGTGTCAAATTAAGCCTATGAATATAAATTAGATTAAAATGATGTCTCTGCAAATATTATTGAAGAGAAGGAAGGGAAGGCTATTGGGTGAGGGAGAAGGGGAACAAGGGAAGTGGGATTGTCTTCTTGAAATTGAATCTATGGAATGTATAACACTGTTCTCTATATAAAAGCTTTAAAACAACTAAAGCTAAAATTATATAAACAGCAAATGTATACCTCTGCTTTAACTTGGCAAAGAGCTGAGGCCATCGGGCAGTCAAATAGGCTGGATTCTAATAAGGAAGAGGTTCCTCTGAGAAGAGTCAGACCTATGTAATAGGGAAGCTTCAGCCAAACACAGGGAGAAGGGAACTGGCTGCCCTACAAGCAAGAAAAAGTAATCAAGGGAAACAGTGAGAATACGGAACAGCTGGAAGTCAGAGGTATCAAGAGGGGCTGCATTCACTGGTAGGGCCATTTTTACTATTCATAGAATTGACAGCAGGCAACACTCACCAGCATGAGCTGGAACTGGTGGCAGGTTGGACTGCAGCCAGACTGCAGCATCTGCTGGTGGATGCTGAGGTGAGGCAAGCCATGCTAGTCTGGGGGCAGTGGGTGCTAGGTCCTAGAGCCCCAAGACAGGGGTCCAGTGGGCTCAGGTTGCCTGGTCTGGGTCCTTGAGTCTGCCTGCATGGTGGGTGCTGGGTCTGTGTGTGTCAAAGGGGTGGGGATCCAATGGGGCCCAGGTCTCCTGCCTGGGTCCTTGGGTCCACCTGTAAGAACTGTTCCTCCTCAGTGGAAAAGATGGAGTAGTAGATGGCTGGCCCAGACACATAGAGGATATGGCAGTCCATTGGGCCTGCAAAGAAAAGAGAACAGAGCAAATTGGACAACTACCCCAGCCAAAAGATACAGCAAATATCTGGGCAGATGGAGACTCTAAGGTGGACTATGTCAGCCAAAGCACAATAAAAGGGTTCCTTGGATTGGTGAGATCAACATTTCAGAACTATCAAAACCACCTGGGCAGAACCCTCAGAGTATGTGCCACATCAGGACCCTAGGTTGATATTGGGTGGTTGTTCCCTAACCCCAGGTACTGGGGTGGTTGGGAGGCTGGGTGTGGCTTCTCCCCTTGTCTTCCCTGTCTCCCCACAAAACAGGAAGAAACAGAAAATTAGGAAACAATTATCACACCCACATTCTCCTAATCTTCTATCCTTCTCACTCTGACCAACTATATAAACATCATCTAACATTTTTTTTTAAATGACAGCAGGCAGGGTGGGAGACAGTATGAGCACACCAGGCATGCAGGCCTGCAAAACGTGATCAGCCACAATGAACAAAGCACAAACCTCAGCACCCTGTGTGAACCAGTCTCTTACCTGAAGGAAAAACCTTACCTGATTGGGGGTTGGAGGTGAGGCACTAACAGCAAACACTGTCAGCCTCAGGGAACAGGTTAAGATGCACTACAGCAGTCAAGGGGAAAACCCTCTTCCTCAGGAGAAAGGACATGAACTCATTCTGAGCTGAAGATCCAGTTATGAAGAAGTAAATATATCCTCTTCTTTTCATAAAAGGAGAAACTGGGAGACTAGGAATTAGTCAGTTTTTGGTTCAGGCAGAGGCAGTGACACAATCTGGGATCCTCTATACTGGAAAGCAAAAGCCAATTTTACTAAGGGGTATACACTAACTATTCCTCAGGTAGACTAGAGTAAATGGATGCTCAAAGGAAAATTGGATTTTTTAGATGGTGAGTTGAGTGCTTTCTTTTTTAAGATTAATTTATTTTCGTTGAAAGACAGATTCACAGAGAGAAGGAGATATATAGAGAAAGATCTTCCATCTGCTGGTTCACTCCCCAAGCGACCACAACAACCAGAGCTGAACTGATCCAAAGCCAGGAACCAACAGCTTCCTCCAGGTCTCCCAAGTGGGCACAGACTCCCAAGGCTTTGGGTCATCTTCTGCTGCTTTCCCAGGTCATAATCGGGGAGCTGGATGGAAAGTGGAGTAATTAGGACACAAACCAGCACTCAGATGAGATTCTGGCACTTGCAAGGTGAGGATTAGCCAATTGAGCCATTATGCCAGGCCCAAGTTGAGTGCTTCCATGTGCACCTGCACTAGTCCTGTCCGTAGCTCTTTGGGTGTAGAGAAAACAAAGCAGGGTGGAAATACTGACAATGTCCACCTCTCTGTCACGTCTTTCATGACACCAGAGCTCACAGATCAAAGATCCCACTGACATCTAAACATTGTAAGACATTTAAAAAAAAACTTAAACCTGAAGTTTTAGCATCCTAAAGAAAGGAGTGATATATTTTGAAGTACTAGGGATCTGGTCTACTACTGGTCATGGACTTAAAAATCAATAGAGGGGAATGACTGGGAAGACAGAAAAACAAAATTTGGGAGGTGTGACATTTTCTATTGGTTTGCCAATTGAAGCCTTACTACACCCAGGACACTCTTTAAGTTGCTGCTGTTCACAAAATATATTGAAACTGTCAGTTAAAAAAGATCTGTTTACTCTTTCTTCAGAGTCCACTGAGTATTTGGTATAAGGGAAACATGAAGGATTGTATCTCACCCTTTTGAGGATTATTAAGCAGGGAGGAATACCAGTCGGCAGACGATTGCCTGGTATGAATTCCCCTGCTTTAAATAGTGCTTCTACTTCAGAAAGTAGTTAGTAATGAACTCTCTGGGACTAAAGTAGGAACACTGCTCCAAAATCTTCATTAAATTGTCATCTTTGTATGTCATTCTAAATTATTTCTGGTGTTACTAGATGCTTGATACATTTTGCACAAATCTACCTGCTATGGTGCTCTAGTTTTTTCTCTCCAAGAACCATAAATCACATACCATCATTTCTGTAAACCATCTATTGATAACATTGAATAAATGGACATAAAACTGTAATAAGAGGTTTACATGGCAGTTCTTCCATTTACTTACTGTAGGTAAACTTTCTCGTTGAATTTCATTATGTACCTGCTTTTCCATTCCTTTCTCATATAGTGTGTGCATGAGACTTCTTTCGTCCCTTTACTCTAATTTCATTTCCTTTTATTCCAGTCAAACGAAGTATACTTGTTGGGAACATGGTCTAGAAAATTCAATACAAGCAGCTCTAAATTTCAAAAGGGAGATCAGTAACTAGTGACAGAATTTTGAAGCAACAATCTTTATAATGGTTGGTTAGAGACACCATCTGTAAGATAGAGTTGACCAAAAGAAACATAATCCAGGGTTGCCCAATACATCCAAGTCATGATCTCTGCACCTGTCTCATTGATCGGTGTCTAGCTGCTGGAGTTCAGTGAGAAAGGGGAAATTGAACGTTGTACATCATCCTGGCTGTGAAGTGTGTTTTTTTTCCCTGCTGAATCCAAAATGTCTGACAAAAATACAAACACAATTGGTGTAGTTTTGGGGACCAGGAAACATGTAATGGTTCCTCTGGAGGTTCTGCATTGTCCCTTTTCCAAATCTTACTATTCAGGTAAGGATCTGGGTCTCTAATGGAATGTTCATCTTTCTGACAAAGACTTTCCTGGGAGTGCATATTGGAGCGAACACTTCATAGTAACAGGTCAACATTTTGGGCCACTGCTTTATCACAAGGCCTCTCTTTTCTGTTTTATCAGTTGCTCAGATATTTTCATCCAGTGTGTTTTAAGATTTGGAACACACCACCAACAAAAACTTTTTCAATAATTATGAAACTTAACTACGACACTGTCATAAACTAGAGTTTATATTACCAGGACACCAAAGAAGACTGTTCCTGTAAGTAACAAATACTTGATTTTGTTATAAATTGGGTGCAGGAGGCATCCGTGGTTAGCATCATCTGTGTTTTTTTGTTTGTTTTTTTTTTTTTTTTGTTTTTTTTTTGGGTTTTTTTTTTGGTAATCTTAGCTTCTTCTTGTATGGCCAGTTATTTTACTTTATATTTAGATTTGCAAATCTAAAAGGGACTATCATAGAACAGAAATTTTAGACTCAAGGCCTGTTATATAATTCTTAGCAATATAAGTATATGACTTACTACTAATTTCCTATTTGTGAAATAAAAATTGTTTCTAGCGGACAAGCAAGCCAGCTCTCCTAAACACAGTGAGGGCTGTACAATTGGTCTTGGCGATTAGAAATCCACACACTAGATGGCAGCACTTCACTTCCCAAGTAGCGGTGTGCTCACTGCTGCATTCAGTGTTGGTAGGCAGAGCTGAACCTGTCTGCTATTGGCCCACAGCCAGGTGAAGAAAGAACAACATCTCACTGAGAACAGAGTTAAGTTCTCCTTTCAAGAAAGCATAAACACTGGCGATTCTAACGGCAAGAAGGATGGAGAAGCCCTGGGGACTTTCATTCACGCTTCTATTCCTTCAGCTGAACTGTAAGTCTAAGGGCTTCTAGAAGGGACCATTACAAGTCCAGGGAAAGAGATGAGGGTCACTTGGGTTCTGCCCAGCTTTCCCATGGACACTGTAGAGATAACTCATACATTCTGAGAATAAGCCATCTCCATTGTCTCAACAGTGGCAAGTGGCCAAGGAAAGCATCCAGTGCAGAGTCCTTCAATCCTGAATGTCTGGGAGGGAGAAACAGCCGTTATCAACTGCAGCTATACAGATGGAGCATCAAATTATTTCCCATGGTACAAGAAGGAAGAACGGAAAGGCCCTGCTCTTCTAGTAGATATTCGTTCAAATGTGAACAACAAACAGGATGGAAGATTCTCAGTCATGCTGAACAAAAACGCTAAACACGTCTCCCTGCACATCTCAGGCACCCGACAAGAAGACTCAGCTACCTACTTCTGTGCAGAGAACACACAGTGCTCTACAGACACCTGCAGCCCGTGCCCAAACCTGCTGCTGGGGCTCTAGTTGTCTTCTTGGTCTTTGACCAGGTGTTGGGTTATGATGGTTTGCTATATTATATATTTTTTCCAAGTTGAAGTGAATGCAGAGATCTGATGTTTACAACTGTAAAAAATGAGTTTAATATATAATTTAATATAAACTGGGATAACTTTGTTAGAAAATCAACGTGTACTTGTTATGGATAATTTTGGAAATACAACAGAAAATTAAAATTGGTAAAAATTCTATGCAAAAATAAACATTTAGTATATTTTCAATGTGCTTTTTTCCATCTATACTTTAGTGTATATCAAAGTATCATGTAAGATCTATTTCTCATGTAACATTTATGTCCATTCTTCCTCATAGAGTCCATATGTAGAATAGGGCTACCTAGTTGTAAAATTTAACTTCGAGGGGGCGGTGTTGTGGCACAGTGAGTTAAGTTGCTGCTTGCAGTGGCAGCATCCAAGTGCTGATTCCACTATTCCACTATTCCACTTGCAGTCCTGCTCCTTGCTAACACATGCCGGAAGGCAGTGGGTGATGGTGCTTGGGCCTTGCCAACCCATGTAGAAGATCCAGATAGAGTTCCCGTTTCTTGACTTTGGCTTCTCTCAGTTCTTGATGTTGCAGACATTTGGGGAGTTCGTCAATAAACATAAAATCTTCCCCTCCCTATCTCTCTACACCCGTTCCATGCAGGTCTGCTCACCAGAAATAACTGGGGAGATGCTCTGATGGCAGTGTCGTTAACAGAGATCAATCACACTGCTGCTCAAGGATTTGGAAACTTTGCCCAAAGTGAACCCAGCCCCTCTCTCTTATTGTTCTGAAAACACAGCGTGAATTTCATCAGCTCTCCCCAATATTCCAAGGTAAAGGAAGAAAATAATTACTTCAGTCAAACTGTTCAAAATTTGGGAGAGGGTGTTGATAGATGTTCACCAAGTATTTCATGAGGCCAAAAAAATAATTAAAATATGGAAAGGAAAACAAACTAATGGGGTTATATCAAACTAAGAAGTTTGTGCATAATAAGAAAACCAATCAACAAAGAGATTGGGAGAAAAATTTTGCAGACAATAAATATGACAAAGAATTGGTATCCAGAATATATAAGAAACTAAAAGCACTTACTGAAAAATCAAATAATTGAGTTTAAATGGACAAATGATCTAAATAGTCAGTTTTCAAAAAGAAAACTACAAACAGCCAACAAATATATGAAAAATGCTCAACATCATTAGCCATCAGAGAAATGCAAGTAGAAATCACAATGGAATGTCATCTCATCTCAATAGGAAGACCTACTATCAACAAGACAAAAAGCAACAAATCCTGGAGAGGGAACAGACAAAAAGGAGAGCGTACGCATTGTTGATGGGAACGTGAGTTAGTGCGCGATAGAGAACAGGGTGGAAGGTGTTTAAATAAAACCTTACAAATAAATCTTTCATATGACCCAGCAGCCATCCCACTTCTGGGAATAAATCTGAAGGAAAGAGACTCAGCACATGAACAAGATGACTGCACTCCCATTTCAGCATGACACACAATAGCCAAGATATGGAATCAACCTAAGTGTTCATTAATGGATAATGAAAATGTGGCTTATAAACACCATGCACTATTGTTAAGCCACACAAAGAACAAAATTCAGTCACTTGCAGCAACATGGATAGAACTGGAAGGCATTAGATTAACTGAGGTAAGTTGGACACAGAAAGGCAACTACTATGTTCTCTCTCGAATGGGGAAGCTAAAAAGGAGAACTCAACAAAACAGTTGAACTCATGCAGAATGGTGATCCTAGAGGTTAGGCGGGGGAGGGAGGAGATTGGAGAAGTACCAAAACACAGATAAAAAGAATATGTTCTGTTGTTCCACAACACGTAGAAGTGATTACAGTTCACAATAAGCTATTGTAAATTTCATGAAGACCTAGAAGAAAGAAACTGGTAGGATCCAAATGTAAAGCAATGACAAGATGGAATTGTCGGTTACCATGACTAATATAGTACTTTGTCACGTACTGTATAAATGTCACATCAGACCCCAAATACAACTGTTTGATGTACATTATTATACAAAGATGTGCAAAATCCTTGTGAAAGTTATAAAATATAAAGATAAATTATAGATGAAAGCTAACAGCAATGATACCATTTTCAATACAAACTATTCCTGGGTATCTGAATAGATAATTTATGTATAAAATACAAAATTAAAATTATGCAAAAGAATATTTGGTAAAACCCAGCTTTTTCTTTCAATTCTAACCTCATTATCCCCAGCAGCCTGGCAAAATCACTGTTAAAATGAGAATGTTCCTGAACATGACACTTTATAAAGCTCATGGAATATGTGATTGAAAGATAAGATTATTTTGGTGGAAGATATTTTTAAAATCTGTGAAGTTTTTCATAATGCACTTTTCATAACTTTTAGAAAGCCATTCATATGCAAGGACTTAAAATATTTTGCACTCAAACTTCACTTTTAGTTACAGTTTTCATATAGTTTTTGAAATGCCATCCCATATGTGGTACTTGTGTGTGTGTGTTTAAATGACAGCATGTTATTCACACTGCTCTGTCATCATTCTTTTCTCACTTAGAAAATACAGAAAATAGTCATTATTAGTATATAGAGAGAACTACCTCAGTTTTTAATTCAAATTTTAAGCACGTACAAAGTAGGAAAAAGGAGCAAGGAGTTTCTACCAGGTCTCCCAGTGGGAGTGGTAAGGGTCCAAGCACTTGCATCATTTTTCACTGCTTTTCCCAGGCCCTTAGCAGACAGTTGGGTCAGAAGTGGATTAGCTGAGACACAATGGTGGCTTGACCTGCAACACCACAATGCTGGCCCCAGTAACTCTGCTTTTATATGTACTTAATAGGATAGCAAAACTAGCACACATGAATCAGTAAAAATTAAATTAGTATAATTTATTGATAAAAGATGAATAAATGTACAACCATATGTCAGGCATTACACACATCTCTCAGTAGAAAAGTATAGCTAATACAACCTAATACAACATTCTTTAACACATTCATATATATAAAACACTTTATCCCAAAATAATAGAATATATATCCTTTCCAAATATACATGAAATATTCATGAAAATTGACTATATTTATGGGAAATTGAGTCAACCATTTTTAAAGGATTTAAATAATTTAGAATATCATCTCTAAAGCAATAATTCAATAGCAAAAGCAACATTAAACTGTATGCCTTGATAAACTTAATGGTGGTTTACATAGGTATTGCCACAGAAAAATACCAGCAGAAAACAAACGGGATAGGGTGGATTTCTCTCATTCTTGGAATAGAACGATGTAGCATACTTCTTGTGAATTCCACTTCCTGTTTGGGGCAGAACAATCTAACATCCCCAGCAACTCTGCACTCAGGCCTAAAAAGCAGGGGTCCTCTCTGAGTGTCGATGGAGGAACGTGTCCACTGAGCTCCACCAAGGCCTCCTATGGGCATGCTGTATGATGGGCTTTGTGCATGGCAGCCCACAATTACCAGGATTCAGCTTACTCTTACAGCTCAAGAAAGGGGCTAGGAAAGATGTAACCAGAGGGAGTATTCAAAGGGAAGAAAAATGGAAAAATAAAACTTACAAATTTTCGTGGTCCACTTGACTCATCCGAAGCATTCAAAGGACCAGCTCTACTTTCTTCTTTCCCCCACAGGATACAGACCAGCTGAGGGAGTAACCAGATTTAGTGTACAGTAACAACACAGGAAGAAGAAAATGTGACTTTGGACAGGATGTAGGAAACCAGGTGAAACATTTCTACTTGGTACTGGTACAAACAGCGTCCCAGTGGAGGGATGGTTTACTTTATTTATCAGGAATATTCTAAGACTATTATTCTGCAAAGCAGAATAACTATTTGTTGAAGTTACCAAAGGGAGAAAAACAGAAAAATCCATTGAGTCACCAACTTTTCCTCAGAACTGCATGACTCCAAGGAGCACGTCTAAGTTCTCTGGAATCCCCAGAAACAGAAATAAAGGCGGAAGATAAGCAAAGCCCTTTGAACCACGTGAAGGCAGTCACCTGCCCAGGGGCTTTGGGAAAACCCACAGACAGGTGGAAAGCAGTCACAGAGGTGGTGTTGTGAAAACCTTATAATGTAAATTTTCCTTTCGTTAAAATACTATTCCTGGGTGGGTGTTTGGTGCAGCAGTTAAGACATCACCTGAACTGCACAGCAAAGTGCTTGGGTTTGTGATCAGCTATTCTCTCTCTCTCTCTCTTTCTCTCTCTCTCTCTCTCTCTCTTTCTCTCTCTCTCTCTCTCTCTTTCTCTCTCTCCACTCAATTTTAAAAATAACTTAAAACAATGAAGTACAAATTCATACAATAATATGCATGAACCTTTAAAATGTGCTAACTGAAGGAAGCTAGTCCATGATAAGAATATCTATGGTCAAAACATAATTTACCAGTTTCCTAGAAACTGCTTAATAGGGAAGAAACAGCTAATGGTTATAGGGAGACTCTTTTTTTAGGAATGATGAACAGTTTTAAAACTGATGGTAGAGATGACTGCAAAACTCTGTGATAATACTAAAATCCATTGACTTTCGCACTTTCATTGAATGGTATGTGAACCATAACTCAGTGTAGCTGTTAAATAAAAATAAATATAAGCAGAAATTGCCACAATATGTATTGTTCTCTGAACTTATTCTAGATGTTCCATGCTATTTGAACATTACAATAATGAACACTATACAGGAAGTTCAAATGTAGATCTTGTTTTTGCATAATAAAAAGAGATGACATAGGATTTCCTACATTGTAAATATGTTATGTTCTGGCAGGCGCAGGACAAGTTGGTGCATCAGAAGCCAGAGCACCAATGGAAGGGATCCACTGCCACCATTACGGTATACTGTGCAAGCACTTCGCATTCACACTGCAGCTTCTGAGAAACAATGAGGGTCATGATTGGTGCAGAAATGCAAGAAAATTTTTAATTTATTTTTGAAGATGGCATGACACAAGTAGACTTTTCAATTAACTGTTGTCATTTTGTAACCTGACACATAGTAGGAACTCGGAAAATAATTATTAAGTAAATTATGACTAATGTGACTATTGTGTAATAGACTGCCATAATTTCGTAGCCAGGCTTTGCTTATCCTGGATGTGTAGATTTTTTTTTTTCCTTTGTGGAAACAGGGAGCACAATGTGCTGGCTATTTAAACTTGGCCCAGACATCTAATCTTGTGTTTAC